ATATAGCATTTTTTCCTCATGCAGTTACAGACACTTCTAAATCATGACAGATGATGGGAAAATGATGCATCGGTATAAAATTCTCATTCCCTCTGATAAAATGCTACATTGAGAATCACCTCTCCAGCTCATTAAATCACATATTCAAATTTCAATCAATCAAAATCCAATTTACTTTATATATTACTACTGCAAATATATATAATCTTAATCTGCGAATACTGACAAATATTAGCTGAGCACAAGTGTTACATCTCTATTTGTATAAAAAGAAAATGAGTGAAGAGATGCAATCAATGCTCTAATATTTACATGAGCTCTGAGATACTTCTGTTTAAGCAGGGCATTACCTCGTACTCTGAGGTAGTGCCCACCAAAGCGGTATGCTTCAAATCCCAGGGAAAGTGGGGTATTGGACTGATCTAGGAACAGGTTGACCCGTGACAGCTCAATGCCTTTTCTTTCAAATACAGCTCCCAGGACTTCTCTGAAACACAAAGATAACAGATCAGCTAACCATGATTCTAAATGGATTGATTAGTTCATTGCACCACCTAGGGGTTCAAACACAAAATCACCTCAAAGTTTTCTTCTTCACAGCTGGGACGATCTCCATGCTGACGTCAATATTTAGGTCAAACTTCAGAGTAAAGCACTCCTTGCTGGGGTCCTGCAGGAGTGAAGAATAAACAGCCAGTTTATGCTTTAGGGAAAAAAGCTATCAGTTACCGAGAATACAAACTATGGTTAAATAATCAGACAAAAAAATGTCAGGAGTACTGGCTCAGTCAAAGGTACATCAAGTCTCAAAATCTTGCCTGCAAAACTAAATCATTTGTTTGAGACAGAAGAGTGGTACACAGGCTTAATAAAAATCAGATCTCTAATTCTTCTCTTACATCTGTGTGTCGGCGTCTGGTCTTCTTCTTAACCAGTTTCATTCCTCCACTCCTGCGATCCCTGAGAAGCACAAAAATAAATAATTAAATAAATAATTAGGAATGACTGAACTCACAAGGAATGCCATGGTGTCTTTTTCCCTAACCATAATCCAGTTTAACCAAGCACAGGTATTTAAATTAAGTTATTGTCATTCTTTTCAGAACAAACCACCCGCCTTTTATGCAAATTAATCATATTATAGATCGCACCTTGTTTAAAAAAAGTCAACGTAATGTGCCTGGCACAACAAGGCACTACTGCCGAGGTGGTAAACTGAGTTTTGCTAAAACAAGATTAATGTTTACATTTTCTATTGATTATAATAGCAGTAATACATGAATGATGCAAGAGGATGAAAGACGTTTGATCATGAATGGGGTGCAAGAGCATTATAACAGGGCCTAGGTGCAGAAGTGTTAATTTCAGCATTTTAAACAGGTGATTTCACCAATGTTGTGTGGTTCTGGCAAAGTATGCCAGATTGAGGTAGTCTGCTGTATCCTCTAGAACTTCAAAACTAGAATTTGTACTCTGCAAACTGAATTAGTGCAAACTTTTATTTCCTAATTTGAATAACTGAATTGTACTTCTTACAATTAATTTACAATTTTCTAATTTGTGATTAGAGGGTTTTTTAATTAAATTTCTCACAAATAGCAATTTCTACTTGATAAAATAATGCAGAACTTGACAATGTATAGAATGTTTTAAAATATACATTCATTTTAAAAGATGTAAAGATGATTTTTCCACGTCTAGAAATAAAAAGAAATATGATCTGAAATCATTTCAAGCCATTCTGGAAGTGTGCTTAGGCCCTCTAGTGGGTCCCGGCCCCCTGTTTGTTACCATTGTATATTTGTTTTAGTGACTTGCGTACTAATCTATTTTAGTAGTCAATAGAAAATATCAGACGTGTTGTAAGCTAAAGCTACTTAGACTTTCAAATCGAATTAATTGTGCAACTCTTCACAAGCCTGCCAAAAACATAATTTATACCCATTCATTTATAAGGCTGCTCAAGAGGTCAGATTTACCCTCTCTCTTCCATTTTTTCATTTCCTAAAGCAGTTTGACCATCAAAAGGAATAGATAGTCCAATCCCAGATGTTCTCCAGTGGATGACTTCCTCTTTCATTATTACAAGCATTAGCAAAACCCAAGCATGTGCCCATAATGGATGTAATGGAGATATACATTTGAAAAAGAACTGACCCTAGGTCAGAGTATCCATCCTCCCCATCCTCCATGTCAGAGGGGGGACCGGTGCGAGGCGGACAGGAACGAGTGGACACGTTCCGGGCCAGGATGGAACCTGTGGGGGAGAGGATGTGAGGCAACACTAACATCCTGCCAGAAGCTGGTAATAATAAGTAACCGTTACAAATTCAGTGACAAGTGTCATGCTCGTCTTGGGGTCGGCTGACATCTATTTTAATTTTTCAACTGAATTAAACCTGCTAAAACAACTGATAGGTTGAAAAAGAGCCTTACTTTGTGGTTGCAGGTCAAACCGTGGATGCCTGTCAAAGAGCATTCCGTCACGGGCGACGGGATGGCAGTTTGAGTCACATGACTCACAGAGGTGCAGTGGGCTGCCGTCTCTAATGTCCTGACACGACGGGTGGTGACACACCTGAGGCATAAATCATACAGCAATAATGTCAAATTAGTAAACACAACAGTGTGAAATCAAACTGTTTGTGCATCATTTTCTTTTTGGCAGTATGACCAAAACCCAATTTTTCCCAAATTTAACACTGATGTTTCTTCAAATATGGGCGCTTCTGGCCCCGGGGGAATGAGAATAAACCTTCTTCAAGCAATATATTTGTTCATTTCATTTGTCCTCTAACAATTTTCAACAGTGTATACACATACAATCACAGACGAATTCCATAATTTAAGCAGTATTTCTGAAAGATATCAATCATATTTTCACACAAAATTAATTTAAATGGTGGATGTTTACTAAGCCTATGGTGTCTTTTACATATTTTTTATTACTATTATTATTAATAATAATTTTATTATTGTGTTCCACAGTTGCATTTGTGTCTTTGTACTGAAAGCTCCAAAATATCCTGGTTTGTGTGTGTGAGCACACTTGTCAGTACAGCTCAGTTCAATACAGTTTTTAAAATTCAATAGGTTAATCAATATTTTAATAACACTTTAGTATAGGGACCGATTCTCACTATTAACAAGTAGCTTATTAGCATGCATATTATTAACATATTGGCTGTTTATTAGTACTTATAAAGCACATAATTCTGCATGACCACATTCTATATTCCTAATCCTACCCAATTCCTAAACTTAACAACTTACTAACTGTTAATAAGCAGTAAATCAGGAGTTTATTGGGGCAAAAGTTGTAAAAGGTTTGTTAATAGCGAGAATTGGACCTTAAAGGGGTCCTATTATGCTTTTTCACTTTTTGAATTTTAGTCAGCGTGTAGTGTGTATGTTTGGACATAAAAAAGATCTACAAAGTTACAAATCTCAAAGTCCACTCCAAAGGGAGATATTTCGTTTAAAAAATAAAATCACTTTTCAAGAACTACAACGAACGGCTCGTTTGGACTACAGCGTTTGTTTTCCGGGTTTGTGATATCACAAAGCGGCTCATTATAATATCATTAAAATAATTCCAGCCTACGGAAATTCGAATGGTTGGGGGGTGGGGAGGGGCGAGGTCGTGGTTAGAATGCTTGGTTGACTGCATCAGAAGAAGTGCTGCTGTAGCCTCAAGTTTTCGCAAGTTATTACACATGCACCTGAATATATTTATGTATGTAAATATGTATGTTACAATTATGAAAACGTTTTTATAATAAACTGCTGACAGTACTGTGACGAGTGGGGGCGGGGAGAGTGCAGTCTCCGGAGTACCCCCCGGCCTGCGAGGGGTGATGGGGGTATGTGACGAGTGGGGGCGGGGCCGAGAGCCGTGGGAACCAAGCGAGGCCGGTGGAGTAATTGATAATGAGCGACACCTGCACCACTCACCGGTCTCGAGTCTCACGGAGGAGCTCCGGAAGGATAAAAGGGAGGAATGACGAGTGTCGGACGAGAGAGGACCAGGCCTGGAGTTTATTTTGTGTTTTGGTTTTGTTTGTGCGCGACAGTCGTCCGCGAGGGGCTGTCGCGCTATTTTGTGTTTGTTTATTTTATTCAAGTTTGTTTAAATGTCCGCCGGTTCCCGCCTCCTTCTTCCTGAACTATGAACTTTGCTGCAAGTACAATACTGGACAATGATGTAATCTGCAGAATTTACACTTCAATTATGAGACTACAGTGTTTCCCATTGATGAGTGCGGGTGTTTTTATATCACTGTATTTCTGAAGCAAACCGATTGTCTTCAGAAAATTGGATGTCATTTTCATTTAATCTTGCATATAATGTCTGATAAAGCGGTGTTTTTTTGAGCGGAGCGCTGCTTTGTGTACAGCCGTTACTGGGGAAACCTTGATCTCTACCACTCCAACAGCGCCTCCTGCTGGCAGAGAATGAGTTTGCATATATATACCACCTAGGAAACACTGGACTATGGTATATTCAACTGTATAACAGTTTCACTGCAATTCATGTTATAATGTTAGAATTAAATAACAATAAAAACAATACATATGCACTTATCTGTACATAGTAAATTTAGTTATTTTTAACTTTTTTAACTTTTTAATTTTTAATTTTTAATCTAAAACGTGATTTAGCCAAAAAAAAAAAAAACACCAATGTATATAAACACACAAACACACACACACACACAAAAGTCTGATGAAAAATACAATATAACCGTAATATTGTGAAATATTATTGCAATTAACATTTTGTATTATAATCAATGTTGAAAAGTTTATATATATATATATATATATATATACATATATATATAAAATCTGTTCAAAGCCAAACAGCACAGTAAGGTTTACAAGGCCTTGTAATTACGAAATCCGTCTTTAGTTTTGCCCCACATGACCCCCTAAAGTCATGTTAATAAAATCAGCTTGTGATTATCTTGTGCCGACGTTTCGGGCATGGAGAGGACTGGAAAAAAGTGCATTATTGTTCTCTACTCGCAGTTATCACAACCTGAACAACCTCTCAACAATTTCAAATCAGTGTACGCTCATATCTAAAGGTCACTGTAAGAAGAAAAGTGTTTAAAATGACCACAACGTGCAATATCTACGAAACAATAAGGCATGGCACTGTGACTCTGAACAAAAAGCCATTGAAGGAAAGCACACAGACTTTAGCTACCTCTTAGATGACAAGAGCGAGAGACAGAGAAAGAGAGAGAGCTAACTCTGTCATCAGTTTGGCTATGCCTCATTTATCTGAGAACTTTCACACATCTGTGGTAAAAAACGCTGCTCAGAGACTTTTTAACAACAACCATAAAACCTCAGCTGTCGCCGTGAAATAACATACAATAATGCATTCATGACACACACCTGATGCCGGTGTCACACACACACACGTGTGAGTCTGCCTGTCTCTCTCCCCCCTGAAGTGACGGCTTCTGTAAGAACAGCAGAGAACGATGTAGAGTCTCGGGACAACTCAATGCTTTGAGCGCCCAACGCTCCCCTCTCTTGCTCTCCCTCTCTCCCCTTTTCCACTTCCCCTGCTTCCTTCCTTTCTTACTGGCTGCTTCTGAACAGCTCAGAGTCTGTGTGTGTGTGTGTGATGTAGGTGATTCAGATAGAGCAGCTGTGTGTACAGACTAATAGATCTAAAAGTGGGTGTAAGAGCAGTTGCGGTTTTCCAGCCACACCCGCTCCCACTGATTTTGCCATTCGCAAACACAGTTGTCCAACCACCCATACAAAAAACAAACACACTATACTCTGCCTCGCTTATAATCTTTCATTGCCTATTCTCATTCTCTGTTCTCATTTTTACGTCAGTCATTTATCATCTACAGTGATCATGAAACATGCAAATGCATGTACTGTAGGTGTACTATTAGTGATAGGCTAAAATATTTGCACTGTAATCTTAAATCTAAAATTTTTAGATTATCAGCACTAGTTGTGTCTATCTGGTCCCTTTTAAGGCAAGAAAGTCCATTCGGTGGCCATGTTACTGACAGACATACAAGTATAGCTCCTGTTACTGGGAAAAGACAGAAAACTACAAAATAGGATTACCAGCTAATTATCAAGTGCATTCTAATTAAAAAGAGCATGCATGCTAATGAAACAGTTACATTCTCTTTTTTGAGAATATTAAGCAAAACTCTTTTTAAAACATTTATTATATTAAGAAATGCTTCTTGAGCACCAAATCAACATATCAGAGTAATTTCCAAAGGATTATGTGAAGGAAAATTCAGTTTTTCCCATTACATGAATAAATTACTTTTTAAAATATAATTGTAATAATATTTCATATTAGTACTAAATAATTGCAGCCTTGGTGAACATAAGAAAAAAAAATATTAATAGAAAAATCTTACCAAACCCAATCTTTTGAATGGTAGTGATAACATTGGTATCATAGTAAAATAATGGGAAATTCATTTATTTAGCTCAAACAAACAAACACATAAATAATATTGTTAATAAATAAAATTTCTACAGTGTGCATGGTGATTAAAAAAAACTTCATCTAGAAATTGTTAAGAAATAATGCCCAATGCCCATATATTTATATATAACACAAATTGGTTTAATTTATAAAAATCACATTTATTTAATTAAAAATTATACACTCACAAATCTGTGTACTAGTGGTGCTGATATAAAATAAACATTAACATTATTGACACTGTAACAGAAGTTAGGAAATGCATAAAATTTTAAATGATGAGTAAATACAGTGGTCTGAAAGACTTGTGTCTGGGTCTTAGTAATTTCTGTCTTATATCTACTCCAACTCTCTCCTGCCATCATCTACTTCAGACTCTTCCCAGAGTACACCCCTACAGGGGGCTGGGTCATGTGGTGTCAGGATATCCTACATAAAAACTGAGTCTTTGAAGCCTGCGGCTGTGCTTACTTTTACCAAATCCAGAATATTACAGTATCAAAACCCCCTTTCTTTTACTCTCTCCATCCTTCCTCTCTTTCTTTGTCTGTGCTTTATATAGCAGACTGATGTAAGGCCTAATAATGTCCTAATTCATACAATGCTGTGCTTTATTAAAGTCACAAGAACCTCAGAATAATAAAACGACAATGTGCAAAAAACCCTTTATAACATGCCATTATTGATCTCAGAAAAAATACAAGACTATAAAAAACAAAACAAAACAGCAAAGGATGTGCCAGGTCAGGTAAAACATGCCCCAGGGACAGCAATCTCTCAGAAAAACAGGGAGACAAAAGTGTCATCATGAAGGACATTTCCAAAAGTTAAACGTCACTTTTGAATCCATTTCCTGTTTTTACTCAACCCTGAATCCACAACAGCTTCCTGTGGCTATGTCTCTTGGCCTTCACTTAGGAGGACTGGGATGTGTAAGAGGACTATAAGTGTGATGTCACTGTTTGTTGCTCAGTGAATGATGGGAAGCGCTCAAACATTTGAAAAATGTCCTGGGTTAACCAGGGTATCACATTGTACCTTTTCAGTAAACATTAGTAAACTATATTTTACATGAGATATATAGCATCTAATTA